CCAAACACACAGCCTACCAAACCACCACCAAAATGAGCTGAATGTCCCACATTAATGCCAAGAATAGCCGCCATAGATATGGTGATGGTCGTAGGAAATACAATAAATAGAATTAGTTGCATCAGTATGAAAAGGCGACGATCGCTATTTGTTTTTATTGCATTAAGACGTTCCACAGTGAAAAATAATGCCAAACCATATATAGCACCAGAAGATCCAATACCGCCTAAAAAGTGAAATCAATTTTATATTTAAAAAGATAATCTTTAAAAATAATCTTGATCAAATCTACAATTCGTTAAAGTTCTCATTCATTCATTTATGACATTACAAAAGAAGATTTCATAGCACTCTATTTACCTTCTCGACTGTCTGCCAACATAGCACATAATAGAACTGCACCTACAGTTGAAAGCCAGTAGACAATAACTATTCGAAATGAACCATATTTACGTTCGAGTAGAATACCCAACAGTATTTGTTTTGATAGATTAGCTAATAAATGTAACCAACTACTATGAATTAGGCTAACAGTAACCATTCTCCATAATTGATATGGATATAGAAAAGAGAAACACTTGTGTTTGAGTTCGTCACCGTAATAACATGTAACATTTTGTATCGATGATCTGCAATGGGCGGTACGCATACGAATATCGTAAGGTGTTGGTCGCATACATGGTATATAATACACCCAAAGATCATGTAATGAATATATAAAACGTTGATTTCTCCATCGGATGTTGACATATGTTGTCAAATGAATGGAAATATGTAAGATAGACATAATGATAATAAACACGGGATAATAATGTTTTTCATTTGGTTGAACATCAAGAGTGAACAATCGTCGAAATCTCAAACAGGCAGTATTTTTTTTAGTAGATACTGGATTCTCTACTTGTATTATGAATGGTTCTTCTAATTCCAACTGAATATCATCGGCAGTATGCATGATTGAAATGAGAATAGTCTGTAATCTTTTCTTTTTCTATGATTTCGAAAAAGAAACATAAAAGTATGTTCCACGTAAGTTTCTTTGTGAGAGATATTGATAGAAATAGACGATGAGCATTCTTTCTTTTTTTCTTTTCTATAACTGATAGAATGGGAGAGTATTGCTGGAATAATGTTATTTTTTTCTTCCATTTCCAACTGAATGTCGGCGGCAGTATGAATCGTTCAAATGAGATTAGTGCGTAATCCTTTCTTTTCCTATGAGCATGTCTGACGAAGGTTTCTTTGAGAGAGATATTTATCGATATAGACGAGTCACATTCTTTTTTTTCCTTTCTGTAACTGATAGAATGGGATAGTGTTGCCAGAATATTAATTTTTTTTCTTCCATTCTATAATAAAAAATATATTTACATCAATCCGAAAGCATGATTCTCTACCTAAGAGTGGAACAAGGATAATAATAATAATACTCGCAATCCACTCGCTTACACAGTCATATCCTCAATATTTTTAGATCGTTTACTTCAGCTTGTTT